TAGATAGAATTTTTTTAATTAAAATATTATAAATTTTAAATTAATATAAAAATTGATATTCATTATTTATAAAAAGAAATTTCAACCTAATTGTTGATTTTTAAAAATGTCAAATAAAATATAAATTTTTGGGTAAATTTTCTAAAAAATTTTCGGAGAACAATTTATAGGATATTAATATCTAATTATAATGTTATTTTATTAAATTATAAAAATTATTAAAGTTACCAATAAATTTTAAATAAATACATGATAAAATTTTTAAAATTTTCAATAAATCTCTTTAAATATTAATCACCAATCGATGCATTAAGTATTTTAATCGTTCTGTTCTTGAAGGCAGGGTTATTACAGTCGAGAAGGTAAAAGCCTCTGCATCTATAATTTAAGTTTCACTATGTTTTTATAGCTTCAAATCATATATTGGTACCGCTCGTTCTCTAAGGTTTGCGTCGTAATTATGGATGGTTATTAGTTCTTCGAACTTGAAAGTTCTTTGCTTCTTTCCACTTGGAGTACTTGTGGCAGCAGGTTAGCTGCGAGTAACAGCTGTTCACCAAATTCCAAAACTCTAAGCCAACTCGTACGATATGTCGGATAATTAGTTTGAAATGGTATCAAATTTATTAAGAATAAATATCTAAGATAATTTAAAATATTAATATTTTAGATTTGATAATATTAACAGATAAATTACATTTTAAGTTTAAAATTTTTTTAATGAACATGATTATTAATTAAAATGGCATTTATTTAATTTAAATGAATAAATATAACTATTTATTGTGAGAAGTTACATTCCATAAAAGGTTATAATTTTTAGTTAAATGACATAATTCTTATAGTATGCTTAAATTGAAAAAAATGAAAAAAAGAAAAAAAAATTATTTAATTATCATAAAAATTAGAGAGAAGAGGAGGGAAAAAATTTCTTTATTTTTTTCTTTTTATTTAGTTATTTATATAAATAAAAAAATAAAAAAAAATTTCCATTCCCTCTATTTTCTTCCATGTAAATATGAGTTAATTGTGTGTCCTTTTAGTCATTATAGATATACGCTAAACAAGAATAAGAAATTTTAATCTTTCACAATTTATCCAACGGAGTTTAATTTTTAAGTTTTGTTGCATATCAGAGATAATTTGACGTATAGTGATATCATAACTCAAAACTTCTTTCTTTTTCTTTCTATAGTTTCTATTTTATATTTCTAACAATCTGGGAACATCATAATGAGAACGAAGGAGAGACTGAGCATGCCGAATTTTAGCGATTAACAGCCACTGAATAAGCAAAGCTAAGAAAGGGAAAAGAGATGGGATTAGCCAAGAATTGCCTAAATAAATCCAAAATCATGTTGGTTCCACATTCTGCATAGGGCCTCATGATTCCCATGCTGAAAATTTAGTTCAACCATGATTAACCATAGAGGGGCCACAATCAAGGCACTGGCGGAGGCGGAGAAAAGCATATTCTCTCTCAATCTAGTGCCCATCCATCCACTTTCTGGGAGGCTAGTCTAAGAGAGCAAGGTGTGGTCATTCATTTATGAAGTGATTGCAGAATGGCAAGTTTAATGACTAATTGCGTGGCTTTCTATTACCAAAGAAAACAAAAACTTGCGTGGCTTTCCACTTGTGTATGTAAAGCAATGAACAGTCACATTTCTATCAATTAGCTGTCTTGAAATTCTAGTTGTCACGAAATCAAAATGTTGGCTGTCTGTCGGCATCATATGAGACCACGCCAAAAACAAGTGGCACGAGAAAACCAGTACAAAGGAAACAACAGAGGGGTGTTTGGTGTTTTATAAAAAAGTTTTATTTTATTTTATTTTTTTAAAGATTAATTATATTTTTTATTATAAATATATATAATATAAAAATTATATTAATTTTAATATTAATATTGAATAAATAAATTTAATTAAATAATTAATAAATTAAATAGTAATTTTTATTAAATTTATAATAAAAATATATTTAATATATTTATAATTTATATTTTTAAAACACAAATTAAACAAACTTTTTATTATAGAATAGATCAATGCATTTTAAGAAATGTTTTCAAAAAGAAAAAAAAATTCACACATTTATACTCGTGTTTATTGTCCAAAGTATTTCTATCACAATGATTGTTGACCTCTGGTGTGTTGCTTTGTTGATTGAGTGAGGAGCAATCCAATCCAAGTGTTTATATGAGGAAAAGTGGGGTGTCCGAGTATGCCATATGTCATAATTTAAATTTTGATAATAAAAATATATAAT